CGGGGGGGGGGCCCCCCCCCCCCTTTATTTTTTCCTTTTCGGGCCCCCCGGGGGCTCCCCCCCCCCGAAAAACCTTTTTTTTAAAACCCCCCCCCCCCCGAAAATTTTCTCTTTAAATTTTTTTTAAAAAAAAATTTAAAGGGGGGGGGGGGGGGGGAAAAAAAAACGGGGGGGGGAGGCCCGGGGTTTTTCCCCCCCCCCTTTTTCAAACCCAAGGGGAACGGGGGGGGGGGGGGGGGGGAGGGGGATCTAGCCTGCAACTGAGGTTCGTGCCCTTGGCTGGAATTGAACCCAGGACCCTTCAGTCTGCCACCAACGCTCTATCCACTGAGCAAACAGGGTTGGGCCCTGGAGACCCTCTGTACCTGGCCCATCCTCCCTGCTCTGCTCACATCTGTCTAACTGCCTGCCACACTAAGAAGGTAAGGCTTCCCCTTTGGCGCCAGGGTGCACCGAAGGGGTCCAAGACCAGGCAGGCATACTCAGAGGAGTAAGGCGGAGGACCAGGGGCTGCGGGGTGCGTATGGGACATCAGCCATGTCCGCGAGGTTTCTAGCATTCTCTTTTAAAACGTCCAAAAGGCCGAAGCCGGTTTGGCTCAGTGGATAGAGCGTCGGCCTGCGGGCTGAGGGGTCCCGGGTTCGATTCCGGTCAGGGGCATGTGCCTGGGTTGCGGGCACGTCCCGGGTGGGAGATGTGCAGGAGGCAGCTGATCATGTTTCTCTCTCATCGATGTTTCTGGCTCTCTATCTCTCTCCCTTCCTCTCTGTAAAAAATCAATAAAATATATTAAAAACAAAACAAAACAAAACAAAAAACGTCCAAAAGATCAAAGCCTCTGCTGAGCAGCCAGCTTCCGCCCACCAGAACTCCAGCGCAGCAGCCCGGGCCCTCGGCCCCTCGATCTTCCCTCCAGCTCCTTCCCAAGCTCCAGCACATTTCCCCCCGTCTCCGCCTCCACCCAGCTCCCGCTGCCCGTCTCTGATTGGCCCTAGGCCCGTCACTCCCGGCTGGTCCCGCCCCCCAGGAGCAGTCATTGGCTGCGGGGGCTGGGACGCGGCGGCTGTGGGGGTGGAGGGTGAGCGGAGCGCTGGGGGGGAGGCGGGAATTCCCGACCGGAGGCCGGAACCCGGCGGGGGCCATGGAGTGAGACCCTCGCGAGGTGAGTGCGGCTTTCCTGGGATTCCGGTGGGCCGCCCGGGAGCTGGAGTTCGGGTTCTCACACACTTGGGCTTCCCGGAACGCTGGCGGCCTGGGACCCCGCCTCCCGCAGCCGGGACTTCAGACACCGCCCTCGGTGGTTGTGCCAGCCCGTCCCGGGACCCCAGACCCCGAGGCTTGTGGCTGGAAGTGGCCTCTCTCCGTCTTCGGGGGCATGGCGCCGGGGGAACGGGAGCGGGAGAGCCGTCCGGCAGCCGGGCTCTCCTTGTTCTTTCTGGGGGTCCACGGAGCGACCCGTGCGACATCTCTGCACAGCCCCGAACCCCGCTCGGCTCCTCCGTTCCTTCCACCAAGGGGCCTGGCCTCCGCTTTTCTTCCAGGGCCCCGGCTTCCCAGTGTTCTGGGAGCTGCAGGCGAAAGCGCAAGGAGATGGCTGCACAGTCCTCGTGCCCCTGTTTCCCCCTTGCTGGGCCCTTGAACAGTCACTGGGAAGGGACCAAGGGGAAGGAGGACTGTTCCCCTAAAGGAGGGGATGAGTCACGCGGGAAGGTCAGAAAGCTGCGCTCTGCCTGCTGCACTTACATGACCATTCCCCCCGCGCTCTCTTCCCAGGTCTGAGAGTCACTGGAGCAGCCGGCCACCATGGGGCCCTGGGGAGAACCAGAGCTCCTGGTGTGGCGCCCAGAGGCAGTAGCCTCGGCTCCCCCACTGCCTGTGGGCCTGGAGGTGAAGTTGGGGGCCCTGGTGCTCCTGCTGGTGCTCACGCTCATCTGCAGTCTGGTGCCCATCTGTGTGCTACGCCGACCGGGAGCCAGCCCCGAAGCCTCAGGTAAGGCGCTCCGTGTCCTTGCTGCTGTGGATGCTTGGGGTAAGGAAGGCTCTGGGGTCAGGTCGGTGGCTTAAGGAGGGGCAGGGGAGAGCGACCCATGCTTGGGTTGGGCCTGGAGGGGGTTCCCTTGCTCATTCCCCTCCGCCTTCACTCCTGCCCAGCCTTCCGCCAGAAGGTCCTGAGCTTGGTAAGCTGCTTTGCCGGGGGTGTGTTTCTGGCCACCTGTCTCCTGGACCTGCTGCCTGACTACCTGTCTGCCATAGACGAGGCCCTGGCAGCCCTGCACGTGACGGTGAGCACCGGCTGGCTGCGTGTGAGGTTGTGTATGTGAGTTGCATGCCTCTAGGAGAGGTGGCTTGTATGGATCTGTTCCTGTTACTCTGCAACTGTGTGGAAGGCTCTTGGATGTGAACCTGTGCATTGTGGTTCTTAGTTCTAGGGCGTACCTTCTTTTGGGGGTTTCCCCCCAGTCCCTATGTGACCCTTGGAAGCAGTGTGAGGAGCCTTGTTACCAGGTATATGACCTACTCTGTGGGTTTCTCAGTTCAGCCTCTGGGAAGTTAACAGCATTCCAAGAATTATCTTCACTCCCTCACCACTTCCCTGAGGGGTTGGAGAAAGAGGTCGGTACAGGCTTGGGGGCAATCCCAGGGGCTTGGTGTTGCTGACCAAAAAGGCCCAAATAAGTAGGCTATGGGGAAGATAATTCTAAAGTGTAGGAAAGTCTCATGGGAAAAACTGAGACAGTTTCGGGGGGGTGGGGGGGGTGCGAGGACGGTACCCTGGGCTCTTCCTCTATTTCCCTTAGACTGAGGAAGTAACACTGGGCAGAATCTGTGTGTCTGACTGAGTGACCTGTTTCGCCCTGTGACTTAAGCCTGAATGTTCCTGCAACAGTGTGTGAGTCTGTGTGAGCATTTGGGAAGGTGGGAGAATGTGGGACTCTGTGTGCTTACATGTGACACTTTGTCTACACTAATGTCATTCAGTGACTCTGAATTGGGAGTGTTTTTGTCCCTCCCCCCAAAAACTTTTGATAACGTCCAGAGACACTTTTGGTTGTCACGGCTTAGGGAGGGAGGGCGTTGTGCTGCTGCTGACATCTAATGGTTAGAGACTAGAAGGCTGTGCACAGGACAGCTCTCCACAACAAAGAATTATGTAGTCCCAAATGTTAATAGTGCCAAAGCTGGAAAATCTTGTTTACATGTAACACTGTGACACCAGGATCTGTGTGATTGTGTGTCATTCTGTGTCTGTGTCACCAAGTGACTGTATCTGTGTGACCAAGAGTGGCCGTGTGTCTGTGTGGACCCCCCCCCTGTCTCTGTGCCTGGGACTTCATTGGACTCTGCACCTGACTTGTGTTCCCCATACTTGGTCTGTCTCTTAAACTCCTTGTTGCCTCCTCTGCCCACAGCTTCAGTTTCCCCTACAAGAGTTTATCCTGGCCATGGGCTTCTTCCTGGTCCTGGTGATGGAGCAGATCACGCTCGCTTACAAGGAGCAGTCAGTGCCACCACCTCGAGAGGAGACAAGGGCGCTGCTGGGAACGGTGAATGGTGGGCCGCAGCACTGGCATGATGGGCAAGGCCTCCCACAGGCAAGTGGAGTTCTGGCAGCTCCCTCAGCCCTGCGTGCCTGTGTACTGGTCTTCTCCCTGGCTCTGCATTCGGTGTTCGAGGGGCTGGCAGTGGGACTACAGCGAGACCAGGCTCGGACCATGGAGCTGTGCCTGGCTTTGTTGCTCCATAAGGGTATTTTGGCCGTCAGCTTGTCCCTGAGGCTGCTGCAGAGCCACCTGCGAGCAAAGGTGGTGGCTGGCTGTGGCATTCTCTTCTCATGTATGACACCTCTGGGCATTGGGCTGGGTGCAGCTCTGGCAGAGTCAGCTGGCCCACTGCACCAGCTGGCCCAGTCTGTGCTGGAGGGCATGGCAACTGGCACCTTTTTCTATATCACTTTCTTGGAAATCCTGCCCCAGGAGCTGGCCACTGCTGACCAGAGGATCCTCAAGGTCATTCTGCTCCTATCAGGCTTTGCCCTACTTACTGGCCTACTCTTCATCCAAGTCTAGGAGGCTCCAAGAGGGGCAGGGGAGATTGGGTACCAGGTGCCCTTGACCCACCTCCCCTCCTCAGGAATGGGGAAGGGAAGTATTGAGGTCCAGAGAGTTCTCTGAGAGGTGAGGGTGGAGCTTTTGGGACAATTTGACCAATGGGAAAGAAGTGGGTAGACAAAAGTCTGGTCCCTAGGCTCAAGGGACAAGGCATGATCAAGTCACTAGGGACATGATGACATGATCAAGAGACATTAGTATTAGGGAAGACATTGCACGTTAGAATTGGGCAGACACTACACAGGGACAAACTGACACTGGGGAGGCTTTGGGATGGAAGTAGAGAGAACACAGGCTCAGAGTCAGCAGTTCTCTTGCTTCTCGCCCATTTCAGCCCTCTGTCATTTGGAGTGGATCCCTCCTAATTTTCTTAGCTCCTACTCTCACACCTCTCTCCTTTCCTTCTCCCAAGACACTAGTGCCAAGTGGCCTCTTCCTGCCAGTATTGGTACCTTCTCTGGCTTCTCCAGTTCTGCTCACTCTGTTTTTAAAGTGCCAAATAAAATGCCCTCCCTCTTTCTCAAAGCACAGTGATGTACTGAGCCCTGCTCAGCACCTCAGTGAAGGGGTCGTCCTCTTGCTCCTTATTTTAGTCCCAGATTCTGGGGTGGGGCAGAAATGTTTGTTGAGTTGGGGTGGAGGGAGGGTTGGTAGATCCGAGGGCCCTACCATTGCTGCACTCTAGGAATACTGAACATGGATATATGGTGCCCCATATGCCGCAGATGATAAACATTGAGCTGCCAAAACTTTTTATACCATAGGAGCCCAAGGGGGGATGGGGAATGTTCACCCCCAGGGTTATTGGGGGGCGGGGGGTAGGGCTGGGCACAGGGCCATATTCTCTAGAATCTATTTTACTTACTGATCTGTTTTGGGACATGTTCCCCAAATAAAAGATGTTTCTCTACATCTGTATGGAATCTGATTCTTTTGTATTGGGAAAGGGGTGGGCATGTGGCTAGCCTGAGGGCCTGCGTCCCAGATGTTTACAGTTGTTTTAGTAGTCTCCCTGGTCTCACTGTTTTCATTCAGGCCCTTCTACCCTTCCCTGAAGATGACATTTTCCCTCTTTTGACTCTTCCTTCTTCCCTCCCTGTCTCCACCCCTTCCCTTTCCTCTCCTTTTCTTTTCCTCTCTCCTTACTCCCTCTCCCCTTCGCTTTCCTAGGCTCCGGGCTAATGTAAAACTACTTTTCCCAGCTTGCCGCGCGCAGGGAGGAGCCGAGTGGGAGGAGCAAAGTCCCCAGTTCCCCGAGTCAACAGGGCTGCTGGGAATTGGTGTCCATTTCCTTTGCGTACTGCGTGGCTGGGGCTGGGAGAGGGTCACGTAAACAAACTACAATTCCCGGAAGGCCTCGCGCGCCACGGGTCAGGGCTAGGCTGGGGCCGGGTTCGCGGTGCTCGCTGAGACGGCGGCGGCGGCGGCGGCGGCTACGGGTGGAAGACCCGATCGGGAGCCCGCGGCCGAGGCCGGGGCTGGTGCTGGGAGGGTGGCGGGGAGGGTCGGAGGAGGAAGATGGCGACGTCGGGGGCGAACGGGCCCGGCTCGGCCACGGCCTCGGCTTCCAATCCACGCAAGTTTAGTGAGAAGATCGCGCTGCAGAAGCAGCGTCAGGCCGAAGAGACGGCGGCCTTCGAGGAGGTGATGATGGACATCGGCTCCACCCGGGTGAGGGGCCGCGCCGGGGAGCCGAGCGGAGCAATTACGGAGCGGGTAGCTGAGAGCGGGGCGGGGGCGGGAGCCACTGCGAAAGAGGCGGAACGGGACTGCGGACGCCGCCGTCTGGGATGCGCGGGCTGCGGGCCGGGGGGCAGGAAGACGGATTTTGCGGGGGGGGGGGGAGGGGGGGGCGAAACACCAGTGAGGTTGGGAGTTTGGGAAGGACGGGGGGCCAAGTGGGTGAGGAGAGGGAGGAGGGAGGAGACCGTTCCCTGGAACCGGCGGAGGGGGTGGTCATTGTGCATCTCTGATGGAGTCCCCTCCGGGATTCCGCCCGAGCATCCCCGGGTGGTTGGGGTGTGGGTTGGGGGATGGTCAGCTTGCCCTGCTCTGTCTCCTCGGTTGGCAATCTCCTCCAATCTGGTCCTTCCTCCTGCCCTCTTGGCCACCGGGCACTTCAGTTCCCCTGGGAAAGGGCCCCTGGAGTGGTTTGAACAGCGGCGCTGGGTATAGTGGAGCAGGAAGTCCCCTCCTGCGTCCCGTCCCTTTGCTTCCTTTTTCAAACGCTTCTTGTGGTTTCCTGACGTGAATGAAGGTGAGGTCCATTGCTCACAGGCTGGTGCGTGGTGTTCTGCCGTGGTGGCCGCCTCGGAGGAGAGGCAGGGCTTTGAATCCTGAAATCGGGAGCCTGTGGCTATAGGTTGTGTGGAATCCGATGGTCTGCTGAGCTCTCTGGGGAGATGGCAGCTTTGTGGGTCAGTTATGGGTTGGCTTGGAGGGTCCTCTATGTGGAGGGAATAGTAATTCCTAGGAAGAGCCAGAAAAAAGGCATCCTGGCAGAGTTGCCTCTGAAACCGAGTCTCTGGCCTTGATTTCTTGCTACCAGCACTGGATGTCTGAGGGAGTGAGGGGTGGGAGTTCGCCCAGCTGGTATGCAGTCCTAATTTAGGGAGGCATTGTTCTCAAAACAGCAGGCTAGGAGAATATTGTAGGATTCCCTCATGGCAGGGAGCTAGAAGGAATCTAAGGGGAGATGGTGGAACATAAATACCACATTTCAAAGCTCTTTCTCCTGATTTGACTGTGATTGCATCTGTCTAGGCCTGACT